TGTTTGTTGTTGTTAAATCATTTTAGGGTCATTTTGGTTAACATTGTTCTTTCAGCAATTAATCTGTTGTGTTACACTAATTTGTGTGTTCATTATTTGTTAACTTGTGTTAAAACGTTCAGCAGAAGTAACCATGAGTGAGAGTGGGCCTAGTCATTAATAAGACCTGTGAGTTTTCCTTTGTCTGTTTTGTTCATGAAGAAGAATCCAATAAAGGTTCTTCAAAACCGCCACCTGGTGGTGAAGTCTTGAACTGCAACAAGGGCTACACCTCTTTCTGTAGCTGTGAGATGTCGTGTAACAATATTGTGCTTGATGCATGTGCACTGTAAATTTAACTTACTGTAAATTTTACTTAATTTGTTCAAGTATGTTACAAGGTTTAATTGAGCAAATTAAGTAAAATTTATCTGATTTATTCAAAGATCTTTAACTATATTCTTAATAACTTTTACTAGATAATGATGAGAGTAAATATTACATGAATTTGTAGCATTTAAATTTACTTAAAAAGTAGGTGCAAATTGTTAAGAGGATTTTTTTCTAGTAAATCTTACAAGTACTTTTTTTACAGTGCAGAATGGTCCGTTGTACTTTAAAAGAAGGGTTTATGACTTGTTAAAAAAATTACAGTATGTCAACAACAAAAGACTTGTCCATCCAGCCTTCCATGTTGGAGCCAGAGTCTGACCCAGAGCAGAAGGGATATAAAGACCGCAAAATTGTAGCTGGTAAGTCCTTGTCTTATTTGGGAGTTCCGTCATAAACACTAAAAATTTCTCGAAAATAGAGAAAACTGTACGGGTTGAAATATATGACCCAAACAGAACGCAAAGATTTCTTTGCAAACTAGGATACATTTTCTGCACTCCTAAGAACACAATAAAATGCATTTAGTGGCTAAAAAAGTGGATTTTGCATGAAACATTCCCCTTTAATGTGGCTAACTCATTTTGTCTGCTTACATTTAAAATATCTTTTTTTTCATGATCAAAGCCTTTGACCACACATAATGGTTGAGACAAAACTCAGCTGGTAAACTAATATCTTTACCTTTAAAGGAGGGATATTGATGTTATAACATGATTCCCTCATGAAGCTGCCTAAACGCTTGCTGGTACAAAGCACCGCCTATTTATACACAGCACCTCCCTGGAGCTCAGTCTGCAGCCGAGCCCCCTCCCCACAGAGCACCCCTCCACTGAAGCAGACGTGCTAAATGTCAGAAAAGATAGGAGGTTCTTAAAGAGACAGAGGCCAATTTGAAGACGTTTGGATTTTTGTTATATACAGCATTTTCATGACAACTGAAGGGAACATAGATACTTGATTGTGTTATAGAATTAAACTATGTGACTGGCAAACACATAATACCCCCCCCACACACACACACACACACACACTTTAAACAAACTGGTTCAGTGTGTACATCCCAAATTACCAGTTCAAGTTCCTTTCCAATCAACACCTTATCTTCCTCTTAAGGCAGAACCTTCAAACCCCGAAATGGTCATCTATTTAATCTTCTCTTTTTTTCTGAGGGTGAACTATGGTCTCAGTATCACAGTATCAACTGTGTCAGCCAAGACTGACCGTTACCATTTTACCGGGCTTGGTAACATTTTGCAACAAGGTACACAAAAAAAAGCTTAACTACTGAGGAACTACTCAGTAACTACTCAGGGACTGTTGAGTAGTTACTGAGTGAAGACACCGAAGAGTAACTACTCAGTAGTTACTCTTTGGTGTCTTTTCACAGTAAATTCTGGTAAACTAGTCAGTAGTTCCTGAGTAGTTACTCTTTGGTATCATTGGTAATTACTCAGTTAAGTTTGACCAAAAGTAGCATCACCAAATCTCTCCCACATCTAAGTTTTTTTCTTTGTTTTCTTTCAAAACCACCTAAGCTGTGATCCGCTTGCTCCCCCAGTACTCTTCAGCTGCCTGTGGCGTTCCACAAGCCAGCAGTCCCTGTAGGACTCCTTTAGCTTGATGATTCCCTTCACCACAGGTGTCTACTATCAGGTTGGAGAGCTACTGCTACATCTGGCACTAACCACATTACAGCCACAACTCTTTACAGCTGCCTCTGCAATTGGAGACAAAACACAGCCCATTCAAACTTAATGTCGCTTGACTCGTCTCGCTCAGTATGCCAGAGTGTCTTTTAGGGAAGATGCCAAACAGGTGACATTTTTTTTCTTCTGTCTTTTTATCCTGATGTTCTGTCTACTTTAGCTTGATTTGTATGTATAAAACATTTTGAATAAAGCAACATAATACGGTGTGTGTTTTGGTGGTATTTGACATACATTAGCCATTATGGTTTGGTAATATTGACTAATTGTTTACAACAAACTTCATGTTTTTTTTGGCCACCTAAAATAACAAATGGAAAAAAATTCAAACTGTCATACCTCATCACCATGAGCAGAATCAGCCCACGGTGGCGTGGCGTCGCTCTGGCAGTGGTGGTAAAAGGAGTAGAAGTAGGTCGGAGACCCATACTGAGCGTGGAGATCAGCTGTGGCTATTGCTGGTGCCACCCATTGGTGGTCTGTAAAAAGTGCTACCAGTGTCTTCCTGCGGGTTTCTGCATTGTCACGATCAGCCCAGTCTGTGTACATGAACCTTCGAAGAATACAGGAGATTAGGTGGCAGCTTGTGTGAGCAAAACATTCGACAAACTCTACTTAGATCGTAGTGTGGATAGTGGCCACGTGGAAGTTACTGTAAAAACTTTCAGCAAATTGAAAACAGCCTAATCAAACAAAGATGTATTATGATCAGCAGGACCACACTGGATAAGTACTAAATTCCAGAGTTGTAAAGTAACTAAGTACAAATACTTTGTTACTGTTCTTAAGTAGAATTTTTGGGTATCTGTACTTTACTTGAGTGATTATTTTTCAGCCTACTTTTTACTTCTACTTCTTGTTTTCATTCCAGCTTTTTATTGTAAAAAATTAATAATATCCAAATAAATTGTGGCTCCTAGATAGAGTGAATTTAATTGTGGTTGAATGAGATAAATATACAAAACTCTGATATTGTATTAGTTTGTACACAAACAAAGCATGTCACACTGCAGCAGGACATAATCGTTAAAATAAAAAGACTGTACTTAAGAAATATTTGTATTTCATGCATTATATTATTGCATTTGGCCRCAGCCCTCAGACAGATTTTCATTTTGGGGAAAAGTTTTGGGCACCCTTGATAAATGTATATAAACAGAAACAGCTGGACTAGTCCATACTAAATTTAACATTACTTAATTATTTTAATACAATATAGTCATTTCTGCATTTTTTGGAGAGGTCACCTCATAATAAATATAATTATGTAAAATCTAACTGCTCATTTTAAATCAATACTTTTACTTTTAATACTTACAGTAAGTACAAAAAATATCAGATGCTTTAAGACTTACTCAAGTAATATTCCTTAAGGAGACTTTAACTTTTACCAAAGTAATTTTTTGGTAAGATACTTGTACTTTTACTCAAGTATCCCTTTGTGGTACTTTATACAACACTGCTAAATTCATTAAAGTATTTATGTCATCTGTGATGTTAGTTCAGTATCTGACATCTTCAGAGGGTGAGTTTACCACAGTGAAACAGGAAGTAGTTGCAGTGAAGTTACACTTAGAGGCGAATGATCAGACTAATGAGTACAACAAAGTGACTAATGGGTGTTACTGTCCGCAAAAYAAGTTCAGCTAGCGCTGAGTTGCTTAGCAACACAGAGCTTTGTGTGCACCATCATTTTTTGTGTTCTGCTGTTACCATTTGAACAGTATATCTGGGTTTTGTGTCACTCAGAGATAAATGGGTTATCAGCCTTATTTGTGCAAGTGAGTGGTCATTTGATAGCTCCTTGTTTACACATTTAGCCTATTAACAACTCCAGGGAAGAAAATGATACTCTAACACCTGTTCAAAGTTTTGCAAACAGAATAACAGATTGAGGTTCAATTCCACGTATACACAGAGATATTATGTTGCCCTAATATATCTTAGCTTGATTCTCTTCACAGTTTGCACATCCACATTTTTACACACAACTGTGTTCGTCCGTGAACTTTGGAGATGCTGATTGGCAGATGTTGCTGCTGCGCTGCTCAGCCACGTCACTCTTTATGTCAAGCTGCGTTAATAGTTTGCTGGCTGCCTCATCATGTTTATTGAGGTCAGATCATGCTTTTGGGCTTATTCCTTTTACCAACTGAGCTATGTGTAATTGTTTTATGCTTGTAAAACATCTGCAGAAATACAAAGTCCAAATCAAAGGCATCATTGCTCTGAACGTCTCAACATATAGTTTGTGTTTTAGGGCTTTCTTTGATTAGTTACCTGTCTTAAATAACTTGAACTTCCTGCCAAGCAGTTCATTTTTTAACTCATCAGCAAAGAATAAGCAGACATCTTGAACTCAATTCTGTTAACCAATCAGAGCAGACTTATCATTGTAAAGATTTTACAGACATAGTAGCTGAAGCAACATGTTTCTTAAACATCAGGACCAAAGCTGCAGCAGCAAAGTGAGTTATGAGAAAGATTTTCCTTTTATTAAACACATTAACAAATTCTGTGCAAGATAAACATTGGTCTCATCTACATAAGCAGTGATTTTGAGCATAAAGGATGACAATCTTCTTTTTATAATCGAATCATGTATCAGATTTATACAAACTAAGTCAACAGCTCACCTTATGCTCTCCCGCAGTGTGTCTCGGCCTTCTGGGTATCCATACAAATTATCCACAAAGTCTGACACGGCGATGTCAAAGTCTTCGGCGGTGACGCCATCTTCTGAGTCCACAACGCCCTCCACGAACTTCACCCCCTCGCCCTGATTTACCCCCAGCATCACATCATAGTTCAGAAACTCTCCCTGCTCCATCAGAATCTGGGGATCATCAGGTATAACATCGCCATCAATCACGGGCCCAAAAGCTGTATGATATTTGGCCGGAGTTATGTTCTGCTCCACGAGTTCACGGTAACTCCGGCCCTGGAGGCAGGCAACCAGTTGACTGCTGTCGTCAATGCCACAGCCCACCCTCTCGCCGAGCTGTCGAGCGTACTTGCTTGGCTGATAGTTGACAGCCCAGCTGGCTAAAGCGCTGCCACTCTGGATGATGGCTCTGTGGAAAAGGTCTGATACACAGAATACACATGAATGCAAAATAAAAAATAAAAAACACTGGAGTATGAGCTCATGCAATGAGGCATGCATGTGCACCCAAACACACGCGCACATCCATTACTGCACAAATGACTGCACACTGAAGGGTTACACATGTAAAGCTCTAAGAATGCACAAGTAAAATATTTCAAAACCATTGAAAACATACTATAAAATTTAAACATTTTATGGGGAATTTTGGGATTTAAAAGCCAATAAATAAATCTATATAGTTTCAACGAAGACAGTAAAACATCTTATAGCCACAAACATGCTATCTGTTTCTGTGCATGTGTTTGAGGTTTATATTTAAAATGTTAAATGAACATCAACGCTGTTTAAAATGTGTTTTTTTTTCTTACCCTCAGAGTAGTGGGACAAGGTCAGCAGGCTCACACAGGAAGCTCCGGCACCAGATCCAAACACTGTGACCCTGTTGGGATCTCCACCAAAAGCTGCGATGTTCTCCTTCACCCAACGTAAAGCCTGAATCTGGTCCAGCAGGCCGTAGTTTCCTTTTGCTGCCTGATCACCCGTGCTGAGAAACCCTGCATAGAGAAAAAAAAAGCTGAATATTAAAAAATGCTGTCATGATCCTCTAAGTTTATTGAACCTCTATTTTTATTTTACAGAAAAGAGCCATCAGAATTTTCACCAGAAAACATTACTGTCATCCATCGAATATATTATTTTCTAAATTGAAATTATTACAACTTTATAAGTTGGTTGACTGTAATATCTTGCAGATTATGTATAAGGCTCATAAAATTTTTTACCTTTAAACATTCAGTTATANCCCTTTGTACGAACAAAAGTAAGAGAAATTTAGGATAAGAATACGAACATGTTCTTGCATGAGGCCCAATGTTTGAACATGCTGACATGTACAGAGATGTTGTAGCTGTTTTTGTATAAACAATAAAAGGCCAACAGTTCAGAAGATATTTTGCTAACAGACACACTCATGGGCAATAAGCCTTCATGTCCAGCTGTCACCAGCAGGCGATGATCAGAGTAGAAATAGCCTCACCGTCTGCACGTGCTGCTGCACCGAGGGGCTCTGGTGGGCTTTGACACGAGGCTGCGGTTCACCGGGAGTGCCGGGGAACACGATCAGGTGGTCTCTGGTCTGAGAAATCTGCAGGACGGAGAGAGGGGGTCAGAGGTCAGCAGGGAGCGACAGAACACTGAGCAAACCTGGCACTGAGGGCGGGGTCTGGTCGCCTCGCTCAGTCTCTGAAAGGACCGAGGGGGCTTACAGTCAGCCCACCTCTGTGCTGCAGAGCGGGGTAGCAATAGAGGTGAAACGGTCAACGTGTGAAAAAAATCACCCAGCTCCACGATTAAAATCTGTGATGACCGATCTGTCCCACGAAAGAATCTCCAGAACTGATCAGGACTCAGTGAAGGATTTAAAAAACGTTCAGCACCTTAACAAATAACTCAGATGTTAAAGAGCAGACTGAGACGGGACGTTTCTGAACTCCTTGCTGTAAGTTGGATGCTTTGGTTTTCTTCAACCTGTCAAACCAACAGGAAACAGTGAACTAACTGTAACTCCAACTCCTGAAAATCTTCTGTTTTCTTCAACTTAAACCAAAACAAGGCTGGAACTTCAAATTCAAAGGATCAGACCAAATCTAGAAGAGGTTCAACTACAAAC